TGCTCCGAGCGCCCAAACCTTTATGGCCACATCCACCTGTTAATGGTGCAAAAATATCTAACATCCAATCCAGTTGGGTTGAGAAAAGCTTACAATTTCCAATTCGATGATGTGCTGGAAGAGTACGACCCCTCAATGCAGGGACCAATAGCGATGTAGAATGGAGAATTGACGGCTTTGAGCAGTATACAATGACCAATATATTTTTGTTGCCGTAGATGTAGTATCGGTTGTTTGGATCAAAACTAAAGTTATACGGCACCCATGAATGACAGGGGAGAGACGAGCAATTATCATTTTGCAGCTCACTGTCGACCAATCTAATTTCGTAAGCGGCATAAACTGCACATAGAATCGGCCATCAAAGAAGGATAGAATAGTGCGATTATCTTCGTAAACCAGCTCTTTCTTTGGATCACCGAATCCTTCATCACGAATTATGGGTGTTTATCACTAGGAGCATTGTGCCCGGGATACGATAGACAATCCGCCGAAGCTCGGCCATTCAATAACCAATGTGGTTCGAGGGGCGACACAAGTTAATACCGAGTCAACCATTTCAATGCTTACAATGCTTGTCTTGACAAAGCCATACTGGACCTAACAAATCTTCAGGTTCAGGATCTTGAAAAGAATAATACAAACCGGGAAGCAGAGAGTTTATAAATTAGAGAAGCTTCCCTCTTTTTTTCCAGCTTTTAAGACTTTTTGTGTTTATGGAGCCCCTTATTCCCCCATTTACTTCATTAATGATCTCCAACATCCTCCTCCTTTTTCTATTTTTGCTCTCTTTTCCGTCCATTAGATTTTGCTTTGGGACCAAGAAAAGGTCTATTATGTTTGATTGCAACTGGGAAAGAAAGACAATAAGCTTTTTAGCTCGATTGGATTTTGAGGAGATGACTTTGTGGTGAGTGGCGATGAGGATATGAACAAAATGTTGATGTGCCTCTTAATCTTTAGCCAAATGGAGCAGCTAATAATTCCAATGGTTAGGCTCTTATGTCTATTTAATGAGTCCTCATGCTATCCTATTCTCTATTCTGATTGTATATGAATTCTCATTGTATTTCAGTCTGTGATAGTTATACTTCTGCATATTATTGTATCGCGATTTAAATATATTGGAGTGTCCAAAACAAATAAGAAATCACCAGTGCTCTTTGTCTGCGGATCTCTAAGTGAAGTGGATATCCCGTGTTCCTTATCAACATCAGTGCCTGGTGGAATGTCTACTTACTAGGGCAACTTATGCAAAGGGGACAATAGTGAGGCATATGATGCCTGTTTGGAAGGATGTAAGACCCTGTCTCGTGTCTCATCATTGGGTGAACACACAAATGTCCATTACATTTATGGATTGAGATCATTAAATTGTACATCTTATTTTGTGCTCTGATATGATGTGCAAATTTGGGACCTGCTAAGTAGAGAGGATCATTGAATTACTGAAGATGATCTCCTTCTATCATGTCCTTTAAGGTCAAAGTGAAATGTGACATTCCGAAATTTCGCTCATTTGGGATTTATGAAATGAATTATTTTATTAATATACTTGTAGCTAGTTTTCGTCCAAAACTGATCATTCCTGGGATACTAACGTATAGGGAAAGGCTAATTAGGGATTTAAATTCGTACGACTAGAGGAATTCGACCGTGAACTGAATTTTGACCATAAAATCATTGAGGTGACATTTTGAGCCAGTGTAGGCCGATCTTAGGATAGTGATGGGCCGATTCGTCATTATCATACACGTGGATCACGGGTGATTCCTTTTGACCCCGAAATGAATTGATGAACGATCCCGAACTTATTCCGAACGATCGTACTCATCGGAACTAGTGATTGATCCTCGTGATTTTATTGACAACCGAAATCGTTACGGTCTGAATAAATTGCACGTAACTCGATTTAGTATCAGTCACGGGTCGTACAGACAAAATTCCCCAAAAGCCACCCGTTAGTTTGAGAAACGCTCAAGTTACGTTATATATATATAATTCGATTATTGATTAGAGACCAAATCGGGCATCAGAAAATTAAGAAAGTCACGGCACGGCCTTTGGACAACGTTGTAGTTGGAACGTGTAACTCGGGATTTTCAGAAAAGTTCAATTTCGGCGAGAAACGGAGAAAGTGACCATTTTACCCTTGGGAATTAATAAAGGGTTAGTTTTATAGGCAAAGGGCATTTTGGTCATTTTGCCCTCAAATTTGGAAAAGACAATTTTTCCCTTGGACTTTTTGAGAAATTACAAGATTGCCCTTGGATATTTTGGATAAGATTCGATCTGGGCCGTCGATTTCAAGATAAGATCGAATCTGGACCGTCGGATGAAAAGATTAGAGAGGGGCATTTTGGTAAATTGCCAAGTTGATCAAAATTTGACTATTTAAGTCAAATTTCTCTCTCTTTCCTCACTCATTTCCCCTCCCCCACGGCTCCCTCTCTCTCTTTTCTCTCCCCCTTCCACCGTGAGCTCCCCTTCCCGCCGTGTTGCCGCCGCGCCGCCGTCTGGACCGCCGCCGTGCCGTGCCGCCGCACCGCCCGTCCACCGAGCCTCACGCCACCCTCACCCCACCGTGACTCTCTCTCTCTCTCTCTCCCTCTCGGTCTCCCTCTCTTGGCCGTGAGTCCCACCGGCCGTCGCCCAAGCCACCGTCGCTCGCCGTTCCTCTCGATCACCGCCGATTGTCACCGCCGCCGCAAGCCGCCGTTAGAGCTTGGTTTTGCCGCCGCTTTCGCTCTAATCGTGTTAGTTTAGAGCTTGGTAAGTCGCGATCTAAACCTCGCCTAGTATATCGGGTTATTTCGGGCCCGTTTAGATGCGATTTGGTGGAAATTAAGAATTAATTGGATTAGCGGACCTTAGGTGTGAAATCGGGAATTTTTGGTGGAACTTTAGAAGTCGATTGATGACTGTGATGTGTGGTTTGAAGTGCTGTGATGGGCTGTTTGGTACGCGGTTAGTACCATTAAGACCGGCTCGTAATTTGATGGAAGTGTCGTGAAGAGCCGAGAATGAAAAATTGTGATTTTGGGTGTGAAAATGGCAAATTGATGGCTGTGATGTGTGGTTTGAAGTGCTGTGATGGGCTGTTTGGCGTGTGGTTTACGCCATTAGATCCGGCTCGGAATTTCATGAAAGTGTCGTGAAGGGCCGGGATTGAGATATGGTCGTTTTGAGTGCGAAAAATGCCAATTTGTGTGTTGGTTGTATGTTGTGATGTGACTGAATAGGATTGATTGATTTGGGCGCGTCTGAGAGCGTGTATTTGATGCTCGATTGTGTGCACATGTGAGACTTGTGATGTGCGACGTGCGTGTGATCACTAAAAGGCCCTGAGGCGTGTTTACGCGAGAAATTGAACCGGCCTGAGGCGTGTTTACGCGGGTCGTGATACGACTGTGGGATCGGGCCGAGTGTTATAAACTCGGGTCGCGATCACATAGGCCTGTCGCATTTGGCGCGGGCTGAAGAAAGTGGAAATCGGTCCGAGGCATGATCAGCTCGGGTGAGACCGGGATGGGACCGAGGCATTGTAAGCTCGGGTTTCGGTCATGTAGGCCTGTCGCATTTGGCGCGGGCTGAGGAAAGTAGGATCGGACCGAGGCGTGTGATGCTTGGGGCGCGATTGTTTGGGCTTGAGGCGTGTTTACGCGGGCCGAGGAAATGGGATCGGACCGAGGCATGTGATGCTCAGGGCGCGATTGTGTGGGCCTAAGGCGTGTTTACGCGGGCCGAGGAAAGTGAGATCGGGCCTGAGGCATGTTTACGCGGGTCGTGATGGCAATTAACGAAAATGATGTGATTGGTGTGTGACCGAGCATGGAATGTGGAATTGGAAATGCGGTGTGTTCGATGTGTACGTGGGCAAGAGAATGTGAGTGATTTGTAGTGCGTGTGGTTGAGATGCGTGTGAGAATTGTTTGTTATGATTGCGGACTAATGTGCAGGCTGTTTATGCCAAGAGTCCAGGTTAGTGTGATCGTGTGGATGACGATGTTTGTGTTTATTGCTTGGTTGTGTCTGGATATGTCTGGAATACGTGGTAGCCTAGGTAGGGTTTAGGTTGTGACTTATTGAGAAGTGTCTCATGGTAGTTTCAACCAAACCATTTCAGAGCTCCCGCTTGAGCCATGAACATATTGAGGCCGACTCAGAGCCGTCAGGTGAACAGACAGCTGAGGAGGATTCAGGTGGCGATGCCGAGAATAGTGAATCAGAGGGGACGCCTCTGAGAGGGCGTAGGGACTAGTTCTGGGAGCGAGGTAATAGTTTGAGAGTGCCCCATTTTTGGATAATGCTGATCTAGGATGCTGATCCTTTTTGTATTTTGGAAGTTAATAGTTACTGGTTCGGTGTGATTGTAAATTATAATGGATATTGTAAATCTTTGGAAGTGTAATGTATATATATACATATGTTGGCGGTTCTGCGATCTAGTTATTCCTGGTAGTCTCCAATTTTATTGTCTGGGATTTTATAATTGTTTCCGCCGCGAATCAACTCTGATGGGAACATTGGGTCGGCGACGTGTTCCTGGGACGTCGCACTGATTCGACCGAGCTAGAGGGAAGTCACGGGTTCGATGGGGTTCGGGGCGTGACATCTCGGTTTAATTGGTATCAGAGCAAGGACAGCTCAATTTAAGATGATCAGAGCTTGGAGTGATAAGGAGTGGAGACCCAGGATGGTGATAGTCGGTTAGAGGAAACTTAGTAAGCCGTAGGTATACTTAGTGCTACACGTATTCCAGACTGCTTGTTGTGATTGTTGGTTGATTGGAATGTGATAATGTTGGATGTGCAGGTGCGTCTAGACTCGAGGTAAGTGCACGAACCCAATTGATGTGGTTTGGTGCTGTGTGGTTGATTGTCTGCTAACTAGATTACTATGTGAATTCACTGCCTAAGCCTAGACTGGATTAGTTGGCCTAGGTCTCTAATTCCCGTATGGAATTATATCAGGTAGTATAGTGATAGAAAGTTGGGACTATGAGCAGTGAAGGAAGAGGTGCAGGACGGGGCCCAAGAAGGGGCGCAGGAAGAGAAGCAAGAGGCAGAGGTCGCGCTCGAGCTAGAGCGATAGAGGACCTTGGAATGGGTGCCAGAGCGATAGAAAACCCTAGAGTTGGTATTGAAGCTGCAGTAAATCCTGAAGTTGATGTTAGGGCTGCAGCTGATCCTCGAGTGGATGGAGTGATAAGGGCCCTCGAGGAGGTTGGGGTTTTGATGGGCAGGCAGACTCAAGAGCGAAAATGCCACCATTGCCCAAGCTGTTGAGGCTGCATTAGCCGCGGCCGTAAATGGTAATAATGGAGATCAAGGACAGGGGCAGGCGAATGCTAATCGACTAATGCATCAACTAGTCGAACAGTTTATGAAGTTGAAGCTCCCTAAGTTTGATGGCAGAGGTGATTTAGAGGCTGCGTCATTATGGATAGAAGAATTGGAGAAGGCTTTTGAAGTACTGGGATGTAATGATGAGGAGAAAGTGACGTTGACAGCGTACCAATTGCAAGGGAACACAAATGATTGGTGGGAGGCCACCATGGGACGAGTATTTCCCGCTGATACTGCACAGAATTGGGCAATGTTTGTAGAGACTTTCAATAGCAAATATTTCTCTGAGAGTGTCCAAGAACAAAAGTTGGCGGAGTTCATGAGACTTCGTCAAGGGCATAGAACAGTGGAACAGTATGAGGTTGATTTCACTCGGTTGGCTAAGTTTGCCCCGAGAATGGTGGAAAATCCACTAGATAGGGCTCGGAGGTTCAGAGACAGTTTGAGATAGGATCTTCGCGGCCAGATGCTTTTTCTGAATCTAAGGGATTATAATGAGATTTATGAGCGAGCTCAAGCGATTGAGCGGGATCTGGCGGATAGGAATGTCGCTTCTGGGTCGAGGTTTGCCCAAGGTAGGGACAATCACAATTTGGGAAAGAGGCCGATGATAGATAACCGACGCTTTGTCCTTCCTGCTAGAAGGAATATAGAGAAACCAGCCCGTTTTCAAAATGATCCATGTCGGGTATGTGGAGGAAGGCATGGGACTGGATCGTGTCCTAGTAGGAATATGGTATGTTATAGATGTGGCGGAGAGGGCCACCAGGCGAAGAATTGTCCCAACAACAGACAGGCGAAACCGCCAGCTTTATCGCCGCCGCCTAGAGTTGGAAACTAGGCTGGGCCGCCTGTACCTTCGAACTAGAATAGGCCGCCGGCTCAAGGACGAGTGTATGCAATGGCCAGAAGGGAAACAGAGAATGGGCCAGGCGTGGTCACAGGTATGGTTTCTCTCTGTGATCATGCTGCATATGCTTTATTCAATTCGAGAGCGTCGCATTCCTTTGTGTCTGATCAGTTTGTTGAATTGACTGGTATGGAACCGTGATTGCTTGACGTTGTGTTATGTGTTACCACCCCGTTGAATGATAAGATTTTAGTTTCGTTGGGGTGCCCGGATTGTAAGATCGTGATTGGTGATAGGGAAGAGAGGATTGATCTAGCGGTCTTAGCAATGTATAATTTCGATGTTATAGTGAGAATGGACTGGCTAGTCAAACAGAGGGTAGTAATGGATTATGATAGCAGGGTGATCCAATTTAATCCTGTTGGACATCTGGAATTCAAATTTGTAGGAAATTGAGGAGGGACCTCGATTCCTTGGATTTCATCATAGGAAATGACGAAATTGTTAGACGAAAGATGTGAAGGCTTTCTAGCGGCTGTAGTTGATTCGACGGCTGAGGAGCCGAGGCTAGAGGATATAGCCGTGGTGCGCGATTATCCCGATGTCTTTCCCTAGGAATTGCCGGGATTGCCACCAGAGTGGGAAGTGGAGTTTGTGATCGAGTTGGCACCTGGGACGGAGCCAATCTCGAAGGCGCCTTACAGAATGTCGTTATCGGAGTTGAAGGAATTAAAGGTGCAAATGCAGGAATTATTGGACAGAGGATTTATTCGTCCAAGTGTGTCTCCATAGGGAGCGCCGGTTTTGTTTGTGAGGAAGAAAGATGGGTCACTGAGGTTGTGTATTGATTATCGGCAATTGAATCAAGTGACCATCAAGAATAAATATCCTTTGCCGAGAATTGATGATCTGTTTGATCAGCTGCAAGGGGCTTCGGTGTTCTCTAAGATTGATATGAGAACAGGATACCACCAGTTGAAGATTAGAAAAGAGGATATACTGAAAACGTCATTTAAGACGAGGTATGGTCATTACGAGTTTACAGTAATGCCGTTTGGATTGACGAATGCCCCTGCTGCGTTTATGGATTTAATGAATAGAGTGTGCAAGGAATTCTTAGAACAGTTTGTGATAGTCTTTATAGACGATATATTGGTGTATTCGAAGAGTCCTGAGGAGCATAAATTCCATCTGAGCAAGGTTTTGCAGACCTTAAGAGAGAACGCACTGTACGCTAAGTTTAGCAAGTGCGAGTTCTGGCTTAATCGAGTTGCTTTTCTCGGACATGTGATCTCAGGAGATGGAATTTCGGTAGATCCGACAAAGATTGAGGCCGTAATGGAATGACCGAGACCAACAGCAGTAACGGAAGTTCGAAGCTTTTCGGGTTTAGCCGGATATTATAGACACTTCGTGGAAGGATTTTCGGCGATAGCAACACCGCTGACACATTTGTTGAAAAGGAAGCGAGGTTTGAATGGACAGACAAGTGTGAAAGGAGTTTCCAAGAGTTGAAGCATCGACTGACGACGGCATCGGTGTTGACTATTTCGTCGGGACTTAGAGGATACGAGATATATAGTGATGCGTCGTTGAAAGGGGTGGGATGTGTGCTGATGCAACATGGGCGAGTAGTAACCTATGCATCAAGGCAGTTGAGGCCGCATGAGTTAAATTATCCGACGCATGACCTGGAGTTAGCCGCAATAGTGTTCGCCTTGAAGATTTGGCGACATTATCTATGCGGAGAGAGATTTCAGATTTATACCGACCATTAGAGCCTCAAGTATTTATTCTCTCAGAAAGAATTAAATATGAGGCAGCGTCGCTGGATGGAGTTGCTGAAGGATTATGACTGTGATATTCTATATCACCCCGGAAAGGCAAACCGGATAGCGGATGCGTTGAGTCGAAAATCAAGCATCACGCACTTGATGGTCAAGGAATGGACCTTATTAGAGAAAGTACGAGACTCGGAGTTTAAGTTCGAGGTGAGTCAAGTCGTAAGCCTGTTAACCACGCTCAGGATTGAGCCGGAAATCCAGGCTCAGGTTAGGGCTTCGCAGACTACAGATCAAGAGACCCAGAAAATTCTTGCGATGAACTCTACTAAGAGGAAACCGGACTTTCAAGTATCCGAGGATGGGATATTGAAGTTCCGAGGATGAGTATGTGTGCCAGACGATGCGAAACTGAAGGAGGAAATTTTGTCAGAAGCGCATCGTAGTAGCTATAGTATCCACCCTGGTAGCACGAAAATGTATCAAAACTTAAGGCAGTATTATTGGTGGAATGGCATGAAGGTAGACATAGCCAGACATATGGCTAGATGTCTGACTTGCCAGCAAGTGAAAGCGTAACACTGTAAGCCAGGAGGACTGTTGCGACCTTTGGAAATCCCAGAATGGAAGTGGGAACATATCACAATGGATTTTGTGATGGGATTGCCAAGGAGCTCAAAAGGCCACGATTCCATTTGGCTGATTGTCGATAGAGTGACTAAATCGGCACATTTCTTGGCTGTGCGAAAGGATTTCGCACTAGATCAATATGCTGATTTGTATGTGCAACAGATTGTTATATTGTACGGGGTGTCTGTGACAATTACGTCGGACCGTGATCCCAGGTTTACTGCCAATTTTTGGAAAAGTCTACAGACGGCATTGGGGTCAAAGCTGCAGTTTAGTACTGCTTATCATCCTCAAACGGACGGTCAGTCTGAAAGGACGATTCAGACTTTAGAGGACATGCTTCGGGCATGCATGCTGGATTTTCAAGGCAAGTGGGAAGAACAATTGCCTTTAGTGGAATTCGCATATAATAATAGTTTTCAGCAGAGTATCGGAATGGCGCCGTTTAAAGCGTTATATGGCAGGACATGTAGGACGCCCGTGTGTTGGAACGAAGTGGGAGAAAGGACTATCACCGGGCCAGAGTTAGTCCAACAGTCGGTTGAGGCAGTTAAGATTATACGCGAAAGGCTGAAAACAGCAGAGCCGTCAAAAGAGTTATGCAGACAGAAGGCGGAGACCTTTGAAGTTTCAAGTAGGAGATCACGTATTTCTAAAGGTGTCACCCATGAGGGGATTATTTTGGTTCGGTAAGAAAGGCAAGTTAAGTCCGAGATACGTGGGACCGTTTGAGGTGTTGGAAAGGATTAGGGATTTAGCGTATCACCTTGCGTTACCGCCAAATATGTCGCAAGTGCATAATATGTTCCACGTATCGATGCTGAGGAAGTACGAATTGGACCCAACACATGTGCTGAACTACGAAGAGATAGAAGTTGACGACAGAATGTCGTGCGTTGAAAGACCAATCAGGATCGAGGATCGGAAAGAACGAGTTTTGAGGAACAAGACGATCCCGATTGTCAAAGTGGTATTGGAACGTCATGGGACTGAGAGCACAACATGGGAAAGCGAGGAATTAATGCAACGTCATTACCCCCAATTGTTTGTTAGTTAGTCGGATTGTAAATTTCGATGACGAAATTTTTGTAAGGGGGGAAGATTGTGACATTCCGAAATTTCGCTCATTTGGGATTTATAAAATGAATTATTTTATTAATGTACTTGTAGCTAGTTCTCACCCGGAACTCATCATTCCTGGGATACTAACCTATAAGGAAAGGCTAATTAGGGATTTAAATTCGTACGACTAGAGGAATTCGACCGTGAACTGAATTTTGACCATAAAATCATTGAGGTGACATTTTGAGCCAGTGTAGGCCGATCTTAGGATAGTGATGGACCGATTCGTCATTATCATACACGTGGATCACGGGTGATTCCGTTTGACCCCAAAATGAATTGACGAACGATCCCGAACTTATTCTGAACGATCGTACTCATCGGAATTAGTGATTGTTTCTCGTGATTTTATTAACAACCGAAATCGTTACGGTCTGAATAAATTGCACGTGACTCGATTTAGTATCAGTCACGGGTCGTATAGACGAAATTCCCCAAAAGCCACCCGTTAGTTTGAGAAACACTCAAATTACGTTATATATATAATTTGATTATTGATTAGAGACCAAATCGGGCATCAGAAAATTAGGAAAGTCACGGCAGGGCCTTTAGACGACATTGTAGTTGGAACGTGCAACTTGGGATTTCTTCGGGATTTTCAGAAAAGTTCGATTTCGGCGAGAAACGGAGAAAGTGACCATTTTACCCTTGGGAATTAATAAAGGGTTAGTTTTATGGGCAAATGGCATTTTGGTCATTTTGCCCTCAAATTTGGAAAAGACAATTTTGCCCTTGGACTTTTTGAGAAATTACAAGATTGCCCTTGGATATTTTGGATAAGATTCGATCTGGGCCGTCGATTTCAAGATAAGATCGAATCTGGACCGTCGGATGAAAAGATTAGAGAGGGGCATTTTGGTAAATTGCCAAGTTGATCAAAATTTGACTATTTAAGTCAAATTTCTCTCTCTTTCCTCACTCATTTCCCCTCCCCCACGGCTCCCTCTCTCTCTTTTCTCTCCCCCTTCCACCGTGAGCTCCCCTTCCCGCCGTGTTGCCGCCGCGCCGCCGTCTGGACCGCCGCCGTGCCGTGCCGCCGCACCGCCCGTCCGCCGAGCCTCACGCCACCCTCACCCCACCGTGACTCTCTCTCTCTCTCTCTCTCTCTCTCTCTCTCTCTCTCTCTCTCTCTCTCTCTCTCTCTCTCTCTCTCTCTCTCTCTCTCTCTCTCTCTCTCTCTCTCTCTCTCTCTCTCTCTCTCGGTCTCCCTCTCTTGGCCGTGAGTCCCACCGGCCGCCGCCCAAGCCAACGTCGCCCGCCGTTCCTCCCGATCACCGCTGATCATCACCGCCGCCGCAAGCCGCCGTTAGAGCTTGGTTTTGCTGCCACTTTCGCTCTAACCGTGTTAGTTTAGAGCTTGGTAAGTCGCGATCTAAACCTCGCCTAGTATATCGGGTTATTTCGGGCCCGTTTAGATGCGATTTGGTGGAAATTAGGAATTAATTGGATTGGCGGACCTTAGGTGTGAAATTAGGAATTTTTGGTAGAACTTTAGAAGTCGATTGATGATTGTGATGTGTGGTTTGAAGTGCTGTGATGAGCTGTTTGGTACGCGGTTAGTACCATTAGGACCGGCTCGTAATTTGATGGAAGTGTCGTGAAGAGCCGAGAATGAAATATTGTGATTTTGGGTGTGAAAATGGCAAATTGATGGCTGTGATGTGTGGTTTGAAGTGCTGTGATGGGCTGTTTGGCGTGTGGTTTGCGCCATTAGATCCGGCTCGGAATTTCATGAAAGTGTCATGAAGGGTCGGGATTGAGATATGGTCGTTTTGAGTGCGAAAAATGCCCATTTGTGTGTTGGCTGTATGTTGTGATGTGACTGAATAGGATTGATTGATTTGGGCGCGTCTGAGAGCGCGTATTTGATGCTCGAGTGTGTGCACGTGTGAGACTTGTGATGGGCGACGTGCGTGTGATCACTAAAAGGCCCTAAGGCGTGTTTACGCGGGGAATTGAACCGGCCTGAGGCGTGTTTACGCGGGTCGTGATACGACTGTGGGATCGGGCCGAATATTATAAACTCGGGTCGCGATCACATAGGCCTGTCGCATTTGGCGCGGGCTGAAGAAAGTGGAAATCGGTCCGAGGCATGATCAGCTCGGGTGAGACCGGGATCGGACCGAGGCATTGTAAGCTCGGGTTTCGATCACGTAGGCCTGTCGCATTTGGTGCGGGTTGGGGAAAACAGGATCGGACCGAGGCGTGTGATGCTCGGGGCGCGATCGTTTGGACCTGAGGCATGTTTACGCGGGCCGAGGAAATGAGATCGGACAGAGGCGTGTGATGCTCGGGGCGCGATCGTGTGGGCCTGAGGCGTGTTTACACGGGCCGAGGAAAGTGAGATCGGGCCTGAGGCGTGTTTACGCGGGTCGTGATGGCAATTAACGAAAATGATGTGATTGGTGCGTGACCGAGCGTGGAATGTGGAATTGGAAATGTGGTGTGTTCGATGTGTACGTGGGCATGAGAATATGAGTGATTTGTAGTGCGTGTAGTTGAGATGCGTGTGAGAATTGTTTGTTATGATTGCGGACTAATGTGCAGGCTGTTTATGCCAAGAGTCCAGGTTAGTATGATCGTGTGGATGACGATGTTTGTGTTTATTGCTTGGTTGCGTCTGGATCTGTCTGGAATACGTGGTAGCCTAGGTAGGGCTTAGGTTGTGACTTATTGAGAAATGTCTCATGGTTGTTTCAACCAAACCATTTCAGAGCCCCCGCTTGAGCCATGAGCATATTGAGGCCGACTCGGAGCCGTCGGATGAACAGACAGCTGAGGAGGATTCAGGTGGTGATGCCGAGAACAGTGAATCAGAGGGGACGCCTCTGAGAGGGCGTAGGGACTAGTTCTGGGAGCGAGATAATAGTTTGAGAGTGCCCCATTTTTGGATAATGCTGATCTAGGATGCTGATCCTTTTTGTATTTTGGAAGTTAATAGTTACTAGTTCGGTGTGATTGTAAATTATAATGGATATTGTAAATCTTTTGAAGTGTAATGTATATATATACATATGTTGGCGATTCTGCGATCTAGTTATTCCTGGTAGTCTTCAATTTTATTGTCTGGGATTTTATTATTGTTTCCGCCGCGAATCAACTCTGATGGGAACATTGGGTCGGCGACGTGTTTCTGGGACGTCGCACTGATTCGACCGAGCTAGAGGGAAGTCACGGGTTCGATGGGGTTCGGGGCGTGACATGAAAAATGTGCAAATTTGAGTTTGTCTGTGTCGGACGTTGTGGTAGTTAAACTAATTTATGATGTTTTACGCTTCCGTGCTGACAATCTTATTAAATAGTAAACCGAGACTAAAATGGTTAGGAAATAACTGATATAGCTTCATGGGAACAGTGTGCATGGACTCGCCAATATCATTGATATATATAAAGTAAAGGAATTATAATTAATGACAAAACTAGTAACCATAGTGATACACCCTAGTGATATTGGAATGCTCTGGAATGGAACAGAATATCTATATCTAGTATTCGAAAAACCGTATGCTCCAGGAAAATCCAAAAGTCAAAAGCATGACTATTTTAGGTTCCATGAATCATATTGCTGAAAGTTTGTGAGATCCATGTGAGGTCTTTAGCTTGGTATTTTGACAATGCGAGAACCAAATTCAAATACATTTCATGACGTGATACTTACATTGTTGGGCTTGCAAGGAGTATAATAGAATCCCGGTTCAACTAACATAGGTGTAGGAGGGAAAAACATCTAAAATAGGGATTCGATGCACACCATGAATGAGACAAATTAAGAAACACCGTCACCAGTAGTCATTGCTTGAGCATGTTCCGTCCATAAAATGGTGGAACCGGTTTGCATCCCTTACGACAATAGATCTTCCGGTTGCCATGGAGATATACCTTATCACAGAATGACAAATTCCGTAAAAAGCAAAGATTCTTTAAACACCCTAATAGATTTTCGGATTGGAGGTGCTTAGAAGGCCAAAGACAACAGCAATTTTTTCAGTGTGCTAGAGCAAATATTGTTCCTTTTGTCCCTCCACATCATGAAGAACAAATTCCGTATTCGAAACATAACCCGGTTTCTTTATTCGACTAGCCAATCGGTCTAGTTCGTCAAGATGTGTGTTTAGTTGTATGATATATCTAATTTTAGGGAAGTCGAAAGTAATCCACGCCAAATTCTAAAGCAAATAACATTTTTGTTTATCAGACATGGGAGATGAAAAAGTCTATCAAGTTTTACTAATAAAACATGCCTAATATTGAAAGAGACAAAGAAAACTTCGTAAAATTGGTCATCAGTAATTGCATATTATTTTTAGAACGGAATATGAGTTCTTTCAAATATGAACTTAATGAAATTATTACCCACTCATCGGTGGCCGCGTTGGTTTGCGCTCAGTTCCTTTCACAAGAGGCCCTGGGTTCAAACTCGCCCATCGGTGATTTAAGTGGGAGGTCGTGGCGGTGGGATGCTGCACTAGCCCCCCTCGAGGACTAGTCGGGCATCACCGCAGGTTTGAACCCTAGCTCGCCGGCCGCGCGGACACCTCGGTTATCAAAAAAAAACTTAATGAAATTATTTCATCTAAGACTTTATTTTTTCCCATTTTGATAAAGTTGTTTCTCACGTAGACCAATGATGTCTACTTTGTAAAACGGACGTTTTCTCTGCAATTGAATTCATAATTCGAAATTTAGCAGTTCTTAATACCGAGAAACCATATGCCGGTAGTAGCACGTTAAGAAGCAAGATCGTGAGATATAATTAACTTTTTAATTGGCATTACCCTAAATCACATAATAAGAGAGGAAAATTCTCAATGTCCGTCCCCTTGCCCCGCCGTTTTTCGTCCTTGCTCTCTTACCAATTTGTTTATCCTTTCGAAGGAGGGAAAGGATGCAAGAGAGTGAAACTATATATGAACTACAACAACACAACAGTAACCTGAGAGCTAGCAAAAGACAAAATGTAATCACTGTCAAGCTAAACTCCCTCCCAACATAATACTATAATATGGGGAACAAAGCTTTTCCAATCAAACTATGCATGGTCCTCTAAACGTCATTGCTTTCTCCAAACGGAAAACTAGCAAAAATTATGGGAGCACTTGATGAAGTCGAGAATGTTTCTAATCCCGTGTCAACTTTGTCATCGTCAACTGGCTCGTGTGGTGGGTAAATATGCGGTTTTGGAGGCATTTGAATATTACCAATATCTCCTTCAAGCATTTCTAGGACTTTGTTCATTGGAGGTCGATGGTCAGGGATTAATTGTATACACCAAAGTGCAACTACTATCATCTTTTTTATCGCCTTCCTTTCCTCTTCTACAACTTCTTCCATTCCAACACTTGCACCTTCACTGACTTGGTCGTATATCCACAATGGAAAATAAATTTGGCTCGAGTGTTCCGCATTTGCATTTGTATTCTTCCTTCGCCCTGCCATTTCCATGAGCAACATCCCGAAGCTATAGACATCTGCTTTATAAGATACACCACCAATGTTTTTGTAGAACAATTCAGGCGCCATATATCCCAAGGTTCCTCTTGCAGCAGTCAATGAAACTATGCTATGATCCGTGGGATAAAGTTTCGCGAGTCCAAAATCAGAAACTTTCGGAGTGAAATTGTTATCTAAAAGGATGTTATGGGGCTTGATATCAAAGTGTAGTATTTGCATGTCACACCCCCGATGTAAGTATTCAATCCCCCTCGCCACCCCAAGAGCAATCTCATATATTTTCTTGTAATCAAGAAACTTATCACCTTCCTCCGCAAAAATGTGCTTATCCAAGGATCCATTTGACATGAGATCATACACAAGAGCTTGTTTCGAGCCTTCAAAGCAAAAACCGATGAGTTGCACAACATTAACATGGTGAATTCTTCCAATAGTAGCCACTTCACTAATAAAATCTTGGCCATGGGCCTTGGACTTCAAAATCTTAATGGCCACTTCATTGCCGCTTCTGAGCATTCCTTTGTACACGGAACCATATCCCCCTTCACCTAGTTTGTGCTTAAAGTTTCTTGTGATCTTTTTAATATTAGAGTAAGAGTACCTTATGGGCAAAAAGTTGTTATGAGCTTGCAAGAATTCTTCAATGTTCTTGTCCATTGCTAAGTGTCTTCTTCGGTACTTGTAGACTAGAAATATCGCAACAAATGGCGTCCCGATTATGAATTTCGCTACACAGAAAAGCACTGAAGAAAATTTTGATAGGTTAGAATTATCTTCATAATTATTGTAAGAGCAAATCATTGCGGCTTACCCAATAGTATTATAAAATCTCCAGCAGTCCAAATTGCAATATCATCTTGGACACCTGTGGAAGTAATGAATGGTGTGAAAAGGAATTGAAGGAAAAGAAGTTTCCAAAACAAAACTCACGAGGAAACAGAGTAGTAGCCAGCTACTTTGTATAAGCTGAATTTTGTACAAAAGAATATGAGTAGTGGCATGCGTACATCTACAAATAAATGCAAATAATAAGCTTCGTACATAGATGGCAGGCGTTACGAGAAACTCCTTTCGCTTTATTAGTGATCAATAACTCTAGAGAAATAGTGATTTTCATAAAAAATAAAAATAAAACACTAATAATTTTGTTCCTCCTACCACCGATACATAACTAAAATTTTTAAGGAATGTTAAGGAGCGTCTCCTGGATTATTAGTTAAGTGACTAATTAAAGAACTAATTAAGAAATTAAGGAAATGTAAATTCTATGCCAACAAAAACTAGTCAAGTGATTGCTCGCACAAGAATCCTTTTTCTTTTTCTTTTCTTTTTTTACAGTGGGAAATCTAGCCCTTTTGTGGAAAGGAATTATAATCTAGGCACAGTGATTTTCACTTTTAGTTAATTAATAGTTTTGTTCCTCCGTCCATGCAGGAATACAATTATTTAAGGAATATTAACAAGTGTCTCTTGATTTAATTAATTTTTTTTGCTCCCAAAACCTTTCAAATACACAACGTTGACATATACTATCATGTATATTTCGTCATAATTATCTTGGATATGAGATATTTCTTTCACTTTCCAGTTTTGAAGAGAAAGTAGCAAGTGAACAAGTGTACAGAATCTTCGACCATAAAAAAAACAAGTGTACAGAATCTTCGACCCAAAAAAAAAAACAAGTGTACGGAATTCTGCAATATTGGGGTAAAATTTCATTGCCAACCAATGCTTACCGCCCAAGTAGTACTTGGATCCGCAAACCTGGCCGCCTCTCAAGTAGTGCTTCCCAAAAAAGTAGCTATGGAAGTGGAAGTAGATATAGAAATCAAGGTAGCAAAAAACAGTTTTCTTCCATGGACTATATCCACTGCCAAAGCCGAGATCAAATCCTTTAGCCATGCTGTTATGGATTAGCTCGTAGTTGTAGGAGCTAATATTAGTCTGCTTATCAAGCTCAAAAACACGTGATGCCTGCGCCCAACTGCTGATGGTGCAAAAATCCCTCACATCCAAAGCATTTGGATTAACCAAAGCATACAAATTCCAAGTTGATGGTGCGTTGGACGAGTATGACCCCTCAATGCATGGACGGGTAGCAATGTAAGATGGAGAACTAACCGGGTTTGAGCAATTTACAATGACAAATATATCGCCGACGTACATGACGTATGAGATGTTTGGATCGGAATAGAAGCTACTGACCGCCAATGAATAATGGGGGAAAGACAAGCAATTATTCTTTTGCAGCCCATCGTCGACCAATCTGATTTTGTAGGCGGAATAATTGATGGACTGCATGTAGAATCGGCCATCAAGGAGGTACAAAACAGTACGATTATTTTCACAAACCAGCTCGAACTTCGAATCACCGCATCCCATCAGGTCACTCTTCAGTCGAAACGGGTGATGTATATCGTGAATGTCACCACAGGATGAAGCGACGCACCATCGATTACTCGATCGGGCATCGCTAGTCACCGCTTGAAACAGACCAAGAATGAGCAGCAACAATGGATAGCCATTCACGGAGCTGAGAGCACAAATCATGTCTCTGTTTGTCTCTGGGCAAAGAGAAATGTGTAAATAATGGCTCGGTGTGTGTTTGGAGAGGAGGCGCAATATAAAAAGATGGAAAAAAGATGGAACGATCCTTGTTTGATTGTAGACTTGGGAGTCGCCTGGTCTTGAAGAGAAGCCCAAGTCAGTCAACGGAACAAATGGAAGTCAAGAAATTAAAGGTTAATATCACGAAAAATCTTAAATATTAATAAATTTATCTTAAATTAATTTTTTTATCAATAAAAATTTTAAAATGGTACATCTATAACAAATTTATCCTCCGTTTGTCACATATGTACTAGTTTTTGGTTTGCCGTGTTATTAATCTAATTTAACGAAAACTAACGGACGGCCACAAACATATCAGTTTGGAATTTTTGGTGATCAAAAAATTAATTTTGGGTAAATTTGTCACGGCGTACCAATTTGCGGTTTTTTATAGTAAAAAAATTAATTTGAAATAAATTTATTATAAATATATAAATTTGAAATTTTTTGTAATATTAATCCAAAAATTAAAAAGAAGAACCAAAAGGTCCACTGTTAGTGGGGTCGTGTCCAACACTAATTGAGACACCCTTTAACCACCAGCAAATTCAAAAGATACTTTTTCCCAATTATCTCTCTCACCCCGTCACTTCCTTCGGATACGCAATCTTTCTTCGTATTTTCTTCTTCGTTTGTTTCCTCCACCCCTCTTCTCCACCCTCTTCGAATTCCTTCTGGTCCATCATGGGCACCTAATCACTTGATATTCATTCCATATTTGCTAAATTAAGTCACAAACGTTAGACATAATTCAATTTGTTACACAGTCATATCATTTCACGAAATATATAATTACCATTGAAAAATATCTTATATGATAATGATATATTGCACGACATCATCGTCAACCCAATCATGAACGACCGCATATTTTGTCGAGTGAATCTAAAAAAAAAAATCCTTATCTGAAGTTAAAATGTATAAATTTGCAATAATTTATGCGCATAGTAGTCACATGAAATACCCTCTCCTATACTCCGCTACAAAGCAAAATCATATATATCCATTCTATAATTGAGGATTTTTTTTAATGTCCAAGGATCTCATGTCCTGTTACCTTAGAATGGTAACTGTTGTATTTCAAAGCCAACGCGTGACTGACAAGATGGAATTGACGTTAAAATCCGCGTGACCAGGAGTTACCATCACCAGTCACGCCCTCTTAAGTGAACACTTACAGAGAGTTTATCTCCTCATAACTAGAATTGTATCAAAATAGAGGTATTGTGTATAGATATCATCGATAAATGGCATCGCTCTCTTTTCCTTCCTAATTGTAATGGCATTTTGAACAGACAATGTCCCAAATTTATTGAAAGAACTCCATCTCCAAAAAGAAAATGAAACTCAATATCTGAGTATAAACTTAAGATTTTATGATTTGTACCCAAAAATTGTTACAGCAGTCAATTCGGATACATATTTCAGCTAGTCTTTCTATTAAGGTTTATGCTACACGTTATATCATACACAAACCACTGAGAAGGTAATTTTGTATCCTTTATGCATAGTTTTGCCTAGAAAATCGTTCTATCATTTTTAGATAAATTCTCAACGGGCCTTTGTGAAGAAATGTTTTCCTCACGGCTCACTAACAAACTAAACAAAATTATAATCGATATGAGTAAATAGTCAAGCTGAGAAATCAATATGGAGTATGAGTTGTTTCGATTGGAACAATTGTTGAAATTATACGGCGTCCATAAATGACAGGGAAGAGATGAGTAGTTATCCTTTTGCATTCCGTCATCGACCAATCTGAATTGGTAGAATTGGCCATCGTGGAAGTATAAAACAATGCGATTATATTCACAAAACAGCTCTTTCTTTGAGTAACCGTATTTTTTAGAATCACTTTTCAATCGAAACTGATAACTTGTATTGCAAATGTCACTACAGGATGAAGCGACGCACGGAAAATTACTCAACTTGGCATTGCTAGTCATCACTTGCAATAGAACAAGAATGAGGAGGAGTGCTTTGATAGATATTCATGGAGTTGATAGATATTCATTGATCATGTTGCTGTTTGTCTTTGGGGAAAGAGAAATTGGTAAAGAATTTCTTGGTGGGTGTGGGAGGAGGCGCAATACAAAAAGATGGAGAAAAGATGCGATGATCCTTGTTTGATTGGACATTTGGAGTCGCCTTGTCCTATGGAGAAGGCCAAGTAATCCACGAAACAAATGGATGTAAAGTCTAGAAATTAAAGAGGTGGACCCAAAATGAAGTCTCATTTGCACCCATAAAATATTCAAAAGACGTTATTTCACATTTGATCTCTCCTTCTCCACTAACTCCACTTTGCCTCCACTTTCTCCACGTCTCTTACACTCTACTCCACGTGATTTTTGGGTCAACAAACAAGTCCACTTCCTTCTAATACACTCACTATCTTTCTTCTTCTTTTCTTCTTTGTTTTTTCTCTCCTCCCTTCTTCTTCTCCGCCTTCTTTGATTTTTTTCTGTTCTTGATCACTTTATATGTATTCCATATTTGCTAAATTAAGTCACAAACTTTAGACGTAATTCCAATTTCTTACACGGGCGAATCATTTCATGAAATAAATAATCGCTATAAGAAAAGTATCTCATATGATAATGATGTATTGCACGGCTTTATAGTCGACCTAGCCATGAACGACAGAGTGTTTTGTCGCGCAAATCTGAAAAAAAAATCCTCATATGAAGCTAAATTGTATAAATGTGCAATAGTTTATGAGCATAGCAGTTACATACCCTCTCCTATACTCAGCTTAAAAGCAGAATCATATATATCCATACTACAATTGTAATCTTGCAATGCACATGGGAAGAATGACTGTAGCCGCTAAAACAATTATACAAAGATGGAATCCACGTTGGGACATCTTTAAGTAATTTTGGGTCCTAATGACTTTGAACATCGTATAGACTTTACATCTTCTTTATTGAAAATTTTCTCGCCCTCATGATGAACATCGTATAGCTACTTTGTACAAGCTGAATTTTGTCCAAAAGAATATGACAAGTGGAATGCATGCATTTGCAAATAAATGAAAATAATAAGCTTCGTTTTTCAAGTAAATGATAGACGATACAAAAAACTCCCTTCGCTTCGTTAGCAGTCAACAAATCTAGAGAAACAGTGCTTTTCATTTTTAATGAATAATATTGTTCCTCCTATCGATACATGACTACAATTTTTCAAGGATTGTTAACGCGTGTCTCTTCGATTATCAGTTAACTGACTAATTAAAGAATAAATTAAGAAAATAAATAAAATGTAAATTCTATGCCAACAAAAAACTAGTCATGTGGTTGGTCGCGCAAGAATCTTATTTCTTTTTTAACAGTGGGAGATTTAGCCCTCTTGTGAAAAGAAATTATAATCTAGACACATGTATACATTGATGTACACTATCATGTATAGTTTGACAAACTTTTCTTGGATACTAGATATTCATTTCATTTTCTAGTTTCGAAGAGGAAGTAGCAAGTTAAAAAGTGTACAAAATCATGCAAAATTACGGTGAAATTTCATTGCCGATCAATACTTACCACCCTTGGAGTACTTGTTGGATCCACAAACCCGATCTCTGGAGACACTATTTAATAAGCGAAGGGATCCAAAGTTGTTATGGAAATGAAAGTAGCCATACATATCAAAGTAGCAAAAGAAAATTTCTTCTCTGAAAATATAGGAAAGTAGAGAGCAAATCCATCGGCCATGATGTTATGGATTCGCTAGTAGTTGAAGGAGCTATTATTTACCTGCCCACCCCCAAAATCATATGATGCGCTCGTCAACTGCTAATGGTGCAAAAATCCCTAACATCTGATACTTTTGAATTGACCAAAGCATACAAGTCCCAATTTGATGACGTGTTGGAAGAGTAGGAGCGCGTTTGGCAACCGGTCAAACGATAACTATTTCTATTCTTTTGTTCCCAGAATCAGTTTTGGAACAGAAATCCATTTGGTAAATTTTTTGTTCCCGGGCATAAATTTGCAAAAATTTGTTCTTAGAATCAGTTTTGGAACATAATCAAAAAGCAAAAAAAAGTTGCTTCTTTATTCTGGGAACAAGAATTAGAAATGGAAAAGAATTTTTTTTTTTCTTCTTCTTCTTCCTGGCCTGTCGCCTGTCGCCGGCCACCAGCGACCGGCCATAAGCCAAGGCCTATAAGGGCGCGCGGCCCTCGCCGGCGAGGGCGAGGGCTGGACCCTTGCTGCTTGGGCGAGGGCGGCTCGCGGCCTGGGTGAGGGCCACCCTCGCCGAATCTGGCGAGGGCGGCTGTGAGGGCGTCACTCGCCCAAGCCGCCCTCGCCGGATCTGGCGAGGGCCGCGAAGCCCTCACCAGCCCTGGCTTATGACCGGTCGCCAGCGCTGGCAACCTCGCCATGGCCAAGGAAGGGGAAGAAGAAGAAAAATAAAAAGAAAGAAATATTAAAACATTCAAAATATTATTAATGAAAAGAAATTTTGGATAGTTATCAAACACCTTCAAATGTTTACAAATTGTTCCCGGGCACGGAATAAAAAAAAATCATTTCTGA